ATTCAGTATCCCCGCTAAGTGAGAAGGTTACTCGGGCAACGCGAAATGTGTTCATTTCCCTCTGAAACAGACTCTCTCTTAGAGCCCACCGGCTTTACCAATATGTTTAGCCCGAGCCCTCCTATCGTTTGCAGGCCTCTGCAAGCGAACGTTTCCAAAACAGAACTCACCCTTCCTCCACAGAAGTCTTACCCTCTCACCTACCCACCCCTTTGTTGGCATTAACATGGGCGCCCATCACCCAAAGTCCAACTAGTTCAGCTCCTTGCCCGTGACCCTTGCTCCCCATCAACCACCGGGACCTCTCACTTCTACCGTAGACGGATCTCCTGAATTTGCACCCTTCCCTCCCGTGCCCATACCCTTGTCTTCCCAGGAACCTCATCATCCACGTAGATGACTAATAAAGGCTGTCCCAAAATTCACGCAAGAAGTAATTTTGATAGAAAACACAGGTTTATAATTAAAAATTGTACATTTTTTATTGATTCATAAAGGATACAGTCTAGGGTTGTGGATGGAACAGCACATCGGGTCAATGGCCTCCACGGCTTTGCTGGCACATACGCAAAGCCGTGGTCTTCATTGGTCTTCATTGTCCCTGCTCCTGGGCCATCATTGGCACTTGGTGATGCTTATCAAATTGAAGGGATTGAAATCAAAGGGCAACAGATATTAGAATCTGATTCAATAAACCAAGTAAAATTAGCCTTTTATTTTTTGTTGTTGTTAATGCTCACGTAAAATTCAAATCTTGCGTGAATTTTGGGACACCCTTAGGTGCTATTAATTTCTTAAACACTTAGTTGGAGCCCAGCCAGTGTGGCTCAGTGGTTGAGAGTCGATCTATGACCCAGGAGGTCACGGTTCCATTCCCGGTCAGGGCACATGTCCGGGTTGCAGGCCCGGTCCCCAGTAGGGGGCGTGCGGGAGGCAGCCGATCAATGATGAAACATCTCATCATGGATGTTCCCATCTCTCTCTCCCTCTCCTTTCCTCTCTACAATCAATACAAACATATTGAAAATAACTAAGTGAAAATAAAAAAACACGTGATCGGGTATAAGCAAAGCTCCTCAACGACAGGTTTCTACATCCTCCCCACCCCCTCCGACCAACCCTGGAAGGAGGAAGAATTCTAGATCTTTCTTTCCCTGGAGTGACCAGGCCAAAGGGGGCAGCGGAAAGGAGCTAGTCGCCAATCTATGTGTCATTGAGTTTTGAGGGTTCGTGTTGAGGTAGGATGATTGCAAACCTCTACTTATGTAGATGAAGGCTGCTCACACGAAGAAAGACGGGGAAAATCAAGTCTAAGGTGGTTTGGATGTGTCTTATCGTTTTAATACCCCCTCTTCTATGTCTTCTCAAGACCAAGTCAAGCCCGGCCGGCGTGGCTCAGTGGTTGAGCATCAACCTATGAAACCAGCCAGGGCACATGCCCAGGTTGCAGGCTCGATCCCCAGTAGGGGGCATGCAGGAGGCAGCCGATCCATGATTCTCTCTCATCACTGATGTTTCTATCTCTCTCTCTCCCTGTCTCCCTTCCTCTCTGAAATCAAAAAAAATTTTTAAAAAAGAAAGATTCAAGTCATTCTTCAAATAGTTTTTACATTTGGGACTGAGGTTTCTTTGAGAGCAAGGTGTCACTATAGGACCACACGCCTATGGGATTATGCAGCTCACCCGTAAGGGTACGGGTCCCCTGATGCTACCAGGCAGGCGAATGCTGTGGTCCCTGTACACCCATGACCTCTGTCCGCTCCACCCCCCTCCAGTTCTGTGCTGGTACAACGTGCTGTATTATAATGACCTGTTCGCATGACCTTCACACGCCCACGCCCTGCGGACTCAGAGTGCCTCCATGACAAAGATTCGGTGTTTATTTCTGTATTCCTAATACCCGCTGTGCTTCCTACCCCTGGCTGCCTGGAGAGACGGAATTCCCCAGGTACAAAAAAAGGGCGCAGTTCAGTTTCTGTAATTCTAACTCCTTTTATTAAAAATCTCCGCCGAGAGAAGTCTTTATGCCCTTGCAGTTCATTTCTTTTGTTCCAATATTTGTCAGAAGCAGCGCTTTACAGGGGAAAAAAAGGGTGGGTGTGGGAGCAAGCATAACAGAACCAGGAGACAAGAAGTATGAGGTCCAGAGGCACCTGTGTCATCTACCAGCCAGGTGACTTAGGTCGGCTCAGCAGCAACAGAGAAACCAGACCTTGATTGCTTTTACGGCTGTTTAAGCTCCACGATGCAGCGATAACCTTAGCAATACTTGGCGCCACATTCCTGGGGGGAAAGGGCAAAAAAAAAAAAACCCAAAAAAACCCCAGAGAAATGTGCCCCAGCTGGTGTGGCTCAGTGGATAAAGTGTCAGCCCATGGACTGAAGGGTCCCGGGTTCCAGTCCGGTGAAGGGCATGTACCCCGGTTGCAGGCTCCATCCCAGGCCCTGGTCTGAGTGTGTGCAGAAGCAATCAATGGATGTGTCTCTCTCTCATATCGATGTTTCTCTCCCTGTCTCTCCCCCTCCCTTCCACTCTCTCTAAAAATCAATGGGAAAAGTATCCTCTGGTGAGGATTAAAAAACAAACACACACACACACAGCCTTTGCCGGTTTGGTTCAGTGGATAGAGCATCGGCCTGCGGACTGAAGGGCCCCGGGTTCGATTCCGGTCAAGGGCACATGCCTGGGTTGGTGCCTCGATCCCTGGTGGGGGGCGTGCAGGAGGCAGCCGATCCATGATTCTCTCTCATCAGTGATGTTTCCATCTCTCTCTCCCTCTCCTTTCTTCTCTGAAATCAATAAAAATATATTTAAAAAATAAAAATAAAAAATATTTAAAAACAACAACAAAAAAACCACACAAATAAAACAGAAATTTGGATTCTTCCCGTGGTTTGTTGTCCTTGGGGCGCTGCTCTCAATCCCAGCTCTCTCCCATGGGGTGCACTGCTCATCGCACCTGCTCAGGGGTCTCTGAGGGAGACCCAGACCCGAATGGAGGCAAGACCGATACTCGAGGAAGCCGAAAGGGGGATTCTGTAACTGCTTAGTTCTCCACTCTGCGCTCCTTTAAAACCACTTCCCAGTGACAACTCCCGACCCCAGGCAGGTGCCTGAGGTAGCGCTGTGCACCCCCAGGGGCTCCGTGTAAAATCTTTTTCTCTGAGAGCAGCTATTGTGTTCCCAGGAAAAGCTTTTAGCATAATGGCAGGCGGAACAGAGCACCGCTTTTGTGAGGATATTTTTTTTTAAGAAACGAAAGAAAAGGAGAAAGGGATTCTTCAACCAACGCAAAGGCGGCCTCCAGCTCCCCCCATCTCGGGCCCCCTGGGAAGAGCAGTGTGTGGGGCCCAGGAGATGGGGGGGGCGGGGCGGAGACAGGCAGGAGGGGGTAGGAAGAAGGTTAGCTCCCCTCCTGAGAATAGAAAGGTTATGTCCTCCTCTCTTAGGGGATGATCAAAGCAGGCTGGAAGTACCTCCCATCCCAAAATAGGAACTCCGCCCCCGCCACCCACCTTGGATATTACTTGCCTTCTCCCCAGTGAGTCATTTAGTGACTATGGTACTTGGCGAATGAGTTTCTAACAAGAGAATGACATTCTCCCTCAGAAAAACTTCCACCTACCAGGTCCCCCTGTCAGTTCGCTCCCCAGTCTTCTCTTTTGTCTCCCACACCTTTTATTTTTTTAATATATTTTAATTTATTTCAGAGAGAGGAAGGGAGAAGGAGAGAGAGATAGAAACATCCATGATGAGAGAGAATCATGGATGGGCTGCCTCCTGCACGCCCCCCCACTGGGGATCGAGCCTGCCACCGGGGCCTGTGCCCCTGACCGGGAATCGAACCCTGACCTCCTGGTTCCTAGGTCGACGCTCAACCACGGAGCCACGCCGGCCGGGCTCCCAAACCCTTCTGCATTGCAAAGCACTCGTCATTCTGCGTGGTCTTTCTTGCCTATGGAAGGGGGGAAACTAACTGTACAAACCAACTTTACAAGCTGGCTGGCTCCAGGTACGCCCCACTTGTACACGTGTGTATGTGTGCGTGTGTGTGTGTGTGTGTGTGTGTGTGTGAGGGGGTGGGGGGGCGGAGAAGGCACACGTGTGTGCTTTGCTTTGGTCTTATGGTTCCTGGCCAGGGCCTCCTCCACACCCTCAGCCTCTCAGATCCAAATGCCATTCGGGTTATCCAGGGGGTGAGGGGATGCCTCAGCCAGGGCTCTGGGACTCCACCCCCTTCCTCTCCAAACCTGGCTGACCTTGAGCTTCGACAGCAGTCAGCACAGTGAGGGAAGTCGCTGATTACCGGCTGGAAAATGGGTGATGGATCTACGCAGGCAAGTTCAACCCTCTTCCCACCCAGCCACCCTCGCTGCCTTCCCTCTGAGGTTCAAAAGTCTGTTCCGTGCAAATACTTTCAACAATAAAGATACGATCCCTCCATCAATCAATCAATCAATCAATCAATCAATGATAAAGGCTGGAAAACAGGATGCAGAGTTCCGATTGTGTCTTAGGACAGGAAGTGATGTCCCTAGCAAACTGCTCTCCATGCCAACCAGCCATTCCAGCCCCCCACCCCCGCCTGCCTTTATTTTTTCCGCAATTTATTTTTTCTCCCTTTCACAACAGAGCGACAGTAGCATTTATCCCCAAAATGTAGACACACCGTTTTCTGGCAGCTCAACGGATGTCTCTTTCGGTTCAGATTGAACCCCTTGGAATCAATAGTCATGCAAAGCGTGTCTGCTTGTTTGGGGACACCCTGTATTTGTGGTCACTCGCCTTAGGGAGCAAGCGAACCCAGTCTCCTTGGATTCAGAGCAATTCTTGGGTCGTGCCAGGAAGGGGGGGGCTGGTATTGCTATAGAGATGGGCCAGTCCCCTAACGTTTATGGAGCTTTGGTTCTCCAAGGGACAGATGCGTCGCTGAGACTCTGAGACCCTCACCCCGACCACCACCCCGATCTTCAAAGGAGGGGGCCCCCGTGTCACTCACGGAACTGCTCCAGGTGGGCCGGGCTGGCCGAGGCGGGCATGGCAGTGACGGTCACCAGCGGGCAGGCGTTGCCTCCCAGCGTCCGACAGAGCGCCTCCTGCCGGAAGTACACCGTCTTGGGGTCCACACTTTTTTCCAGGAGGTCCAGGTGAGTCTGGAGCGGAAACAGAACAGGAGCGTGTACGGTTCCGATTTGGGGACCATGATGCCCATCGCAGAAAACAGCAACACAGCTTACACTTGTGTGAGCCCTGATCGTCTCTAGACGTTACTGTGGGACCCTGACCGGCCCAATGTTGGGTGTGAAGTGATTGAAGAGGGGGCTCTTCCCGCTGCCCAGGGGATGGTCCATGGGGCTGAGTGGGGAGCAACATTCCCGCACAGCCCTGAGGTACCGAGTGTCTGATTTCTACGGCACGAAAGGCGAGAGGACGGGGCACACGGCATCGCTGACTGCCTGCCGCCTGCACGCCTCACACTGGGGATGGAGCCCGCAACCGGCCATGTGCCCTGACTGGGGATCAAACCGGTAACCTCTTGGTTCATAGGTCAACACTCAACCTTTGAGCCACACAAAGCAGGTGATGGAGGTTATTTTTAAAAAGTGATTGTGTGCATGTGTGTGTGTGTGTGTAAAGGTAAATTCATAGATGCACATCTATGTATACACAAAAACTCATTCTTGGGTCATACTTCCTTCTGCAACACGAGATGCCAGAGGGAATGAAGAACTACCCAGAACTTGCAAGTAGAAGAAAGGTTGAAAATCAGTAAACTTATAATCAGCCAAGTTTCTGCTCACAAGCAAATGGAGCATATATGCTCAGATACACAAAAACTTATAAAATAGATCACACCCGCCCGGCGTGGCTCAGTGGTTGAGTGTCGAGCTACGAACCAGGAGGTCCCGGTTCGATTCCCGGTCAGGGCACATGCCCAGGATGTAGGCTCGATGCCCAGTAGGGGGCATGCAGGAGGCAATCAATAGTTCTCTCTCATCATTGATGTTTCTCTCTCTCTCTCTCCCTTCGTCTCTGAAATCAATAAAAATATTTTTTTAAAAAGAAGAAAGGGAGAGAGGGAGGGAGGGAGGAAGGAATGGAAAAAAGCAAAGAAGCATAAAAAATAGGATAAAATCAAAATGATAGAAGTGACACCAAAATTTGCTATAAGTCCAAATAGGTTAAACAGCCTTATTAAATGACAAAATTCTTCAGATTCGTTTTTATGAGTCCCACTGTATGTTGTCTATAAGAGATGCTTTTGAAGAGGGGAGAAGAAAAAAAAACCATGACATATATGAAAACATGCCCACATTATCTATTTTGTTTGCCTCTCCTAAAATATTTTAAGAGAGAAATATTGAAACGCAAAGGCTAAGCAAGCAATAAGTTATAGCAGGCACGGCCGCGGAAATATGCAGCAGAGCCATATTCAAGAACAAGTCCCATTAAATGGGACTTAAAAGTCTTATTTTGACAAAGGGCACAATATGCAATGAACGTGTAAAACTCATAAATCTGAAGAATCAAATAACATCGGATTGAAATATGCAACGTGAAAATGGCAGGAGGAGAAACACTGCACCCGGAATGAGGGACGCCAAGACGGTACCTCCGTCTTAAATAAATCAAATACACAAAAATAATGATATACTGCATTGGAGCAATATTATTTTTATAGATATATGTCAAGCTTTTTCTTGACAGAGAACATCCTTTTATTTTTTTCCTCAAGCATCCATGGAACTGTGACAAAATTTAACCATATCCAGGGCTATAAAAATTCAACAACTTTTCTTTTATTTTAATATATTTTTAGGGCCCTAAGTGGTGTGGCTCAGTGGATAGAGCGTCGGCCTGCGGACTGAAGGGTCCCAGGTTCAATTCCGGTCAAGGGCATGTACCTGGGTTGCGGGCACATCCCCAGTGGGGGGCGTGCAGGAGGCAGCTGATCGATGTTTCTCTCTCATGGATGTTTCTCTCTATCCCTCTCCCTTCCTCTCTGTAAAAAATCAATAAAATATATTTTAAATACATATATATATATATATATATATATATATACACATATATATTTTTTATGGATTTCAGAGAGTAAGGGAGAGGGAGAGAAACATCCATGATGAGAGAGATTCATGGATCGGCTGCCTCCTGCACGCCCCCCACTGGGGATCAATCCTGCAACCTGGGCATGTGACTTTGACCAGAATCGAACCCGGGACCCTTCAGTCCGCAGGCCGACGCTCTATCCACTGAGCCAAACCAGTTAGGGCAAGGGGTGGGGTTCTTTATAAAAACGGGAATGAGGTCAAGGCAATTATGGGACACCGCCCCCCTGCCCACACACACACACAGAAAAGTCCACCTCTCCAAGAAAGGAAACATATCTGGCTGAGGACTTCGCGGCAGCCTCACGGATACCCCTCCCCAGGAGTTCCCTGGCCTCCTCCTTCATCAGCTACTCCCTGCAAACTTCCATCAAAGACTGCACTTGACCTCAGCGGGCGACCCTACCGGTAAAGTGAGAAGCAGCCTGCACTGGGAAATCGTTTCTTATTGTGCTCCCCACCATCGGCTGCGCTCACCGTCCCCCTGACTCGGAAGAAAGCCGCCTCTAAGGAGGCGCCGGCCTATTTTATTCTGTGGACTGCCCAGTGCTCCCCGTCCCTTGAATACGCCCATCAGGGGGTCAATCCCGGAAGAGCAAAGGACACCTTTCAACTAAACAAAAGCAACCGAACAGGCTGTGGGCAGGTTCTGCCTGAGGAGCGTCCTCACACTGCCCACCAGCCAATGTCGCTCCCCTAGGCCAGTGGTCGGCAAACTCATTCGCCAACAGAGCCAAATATCAACAGCACGACGATTGAAATTTCTTTTGAGAGCCACATTTTTTAAACTTAAACTATATAGGTAGGTACACTGTTATTCACTTAATTAGGGTCCTCCTAAGGCTTAGGAAGAGCCACACTCAAGGGGCCAAAGAGCCGCATGTGGCTCGCGAGCCGCAGTTTGCCGACCGTGGCCCTACGTTAACGGGACTCGCTTTCAGACAGGAGAGAGATTATTAGTCTCTGGGTGTCTGCTCACAGATCCGCCGGTTAGAAAGAAACGATGATTTTCACCGGCTTTTCCCATGGAAAATAAATGAAGTGATATTGCTGATGATTGGGAAAAGCGCGTAAAGAAAAAAGAATGACCATCAGCCACCCTAAGGCAACCGTCACTAGCCGTTGTAGCTATTTCTTTGGGATGCTTTCGTTGGATTTTTTTTTTTTTTTTTGCATAATTTTTGTTTCATTATACATTACGGGATGGGTATCTTCCAATCAGGCCAACGTAGAAAGTAATCACACGCCATCATATAGAAAGAGAATAGCCCGGCCTGCGTGGCTCAGTGATTGCGCGTTGATCTGTGAACCGAGAGGTCACGGTTCCATTCCCGGGCAGGGCACATGCCGGGGCTGCGGGCTCGATCCCCAGCAGGAGGCAGCTGATCCATGATTCTCTCTCATCATGGATGTTTCTATCTCTCTCTTCCTCTCCCCTCCTCTCTCTGAAATCATTAAAAAACACATTTAAAAAAAGAGAGAGAGAGAGAATATATGGCAGCAGTTCTCAACCTGTGGGTCGCGACCCCTTTGGGGTCGAACGACCCTTTCACAGGGGTCGCCAAAGACCATCGGAAAACACATATATAATTACATGTTGTTTTGGTGATGAATCACGATGCTTTAATTACGTTCCATTTGTAACAATGAAATTGGGGGTCACCACAACATGAGGAACTGTATTGAGGGGTCGCGGCATTAGGAAGGTTGAGAACCACTGATATGTGGTCTAATGGTCACGGTCTACCCTTGGCGAACACTTTCCATGTACCAAGTAATTTCATCATCTTAAGAACCCACATAGTAACTGCTTTTATAGTTCCCATTTTACAGATGAGAAAACTGAGGCACCGAGTGGTTAAACAGCTCGCCCGTGGCTGCACGGCAAAAAAACCCACTTCTTTCTTTGTGCTCAAGACCCTGGAATTCGGGGGCCGTTGGGGCCAATGACGCCACCCTTCACGCACCTCTGGGCCCCTTCAGAACGGCCTCTCACGCTCCCCTCCGAACGCCTGGACCCGTGGCTGGTGCCTGTCCTTCGTCCTGGCCCCTCCAAGGACGAGTCTCTGTCTATTGATCCCCTGACAGCACTGACTGATGACTTGCTCATCGCCTCTTTGTTCTACGACACGGAAGTCCATCTCTCCCGTCTGACACCGTGTTGAACTCTTTATTTCACTCTGAGCCCTTTATTAGCGCGTGTGCGGAGGGCATTCTGAGTCCGTCTTCTCTCTCCTTTTCCCTCTCCCTCTCGCCCTCTCCTTCCCAGCGTACACTAGCGTAAGCTCAATTCATCTCTAAGGGTAATTAGTGGCGGGAGCCTCGACCATGGTAGAGCTGTATGTCTGGTGAAAAAAAATGTATTCTCTACCCTTTAAGGGCCTGAGGCTCTTCCAACGTGTGGATCCCACTTGGGATCACTTTTCTTGTCTCTTGCCAACGCCTCCCGTTATAAGTGCCTGTGAGATCGAGTTTTCTTAGCCTCTAAAATGCCCATCAGAAACTTTCAGGGTCCTATTTTCTTTAAATAAATATAGATAGATAGATAGATAGATAGATAGATAGATAGATAGATAGATATAAAGGTATACATATATATATATATACACATACATATACATATATATATAATTTCAGAGGAGAAGGGAGAGGGAGAGAGAGATAGAAACATCAATGATGAAAGAGAATCATGGATGGGCTGCCTCCTGCACACCCCCTACTGGGGATCAAGCCTGCAACTGGCATGTGCCCTGACCGGGAATCGAACCGTGACCTCCTGGTTCCTAGGTTGACCCTCAACCACTGAGCCACGCTGGCCGGGCTGTGGCCTTATTTCCAAATAATACCTCTGGCTTCCAAGGGGTAATCCATAACAGAACCCAAACGCTTAAACAAGTTGTGCTAACAACGCTTTAAACAGTCACTGCGATTATTGACGGCTTGACATGGGTGACTGCAATAGAACTCCTTTTGCTTGCTTCATAATTATAACGATATTGTATTTCTTTCTTTTCGCTTTAATACTCTAATTTGGATAATTATCCAACAGAGCTCCTGGCAACCATCTGGAAGATTTCAGAGAGGAAGGGAGAGGGAGAGAGAGAGAGAGAAACATCAGTGAGGAGAGAGAATCATGGGTCGGCTGCCTCCTGCACGCCCACACTGGGGATCAAGCCCGCCACCCGGGCGTGTGCCCTGACTGGGAATCGAACCGTGACCTCCTGGTTCATAGGCCAACGCTCAACCCCTGTGTCTCTCACATCAGTGTTTCTCTCTCTCCCTTCCTCCCTCCTCCTACTCTGTCTGAAAATCAATGGGAAAAATATCCTCAGGTGAGGATTTAAAAAAAAGCCAGGGTTCAGGAACTCAACCATCAGAGATTATAAAACCCTACAACTCAATGACTACCTCACCTATCAAAGTGGACTGCGTGCCCAGCCTGTGTTGCTCAGTGGTTGAGCGTGACCTATGAACCAGGAGGTCACGGTTCGATTCCCGGTCAGGGCACATGCCCGGCTTGCGGGCTCCATCTCCCAGTGCGGGTCGTGCAGGAGGCAGCCGATCCATGATTCTCTCTCCTCATTGATGTTTCTCTCTCTCTCTCCCACTCCCTTCCTCTCTGAGATCAATAAAAATGTATGTGTTTTTTTAAAGTGGCCTGTGTTACAGTGGCTAAGGACTGTACCGGTCTGGCCCTGCCCACACATCCTAAACTTCTACATGGAAGGACACAGCGACAGACGTCAAAGACCCAGGCTAGGCTCCCTCTCTGGATGTGATTCCTCGGCCTCCCTTTCTGCATCTATAAATGACGGGCGTGGGTGCGACAACTCCCCAGACTCCTTTGCATTCTAACGTGTGATGCCAGCGGCCACTGAGCATCTCCTCAGCGGCCAAGACAGTCTAACGGTTAGACTCTACCCAGTGAGCAGAACAGCATCAAAGGCAAACACGGGCACTGAAGGAGTCCCGGCTCCGGGGACACGTGGGCATGCAGGTCCCAGGTGAGACGGGAAGAAAGGCTGGGGAGGGGCCGTTTGCCTGCTGCCTCTCTCCGGGCCCGGCGGGCAACAAGCATGTTTTATCACAAACACGGCTCGTTCCAGCCTCGCTCGGGGCATGTGTGTCTTGGATGAGTGTCTTGCGCTCCTACGGGGGATCCACAAATAATACTAGTTGTGAATCTCGCAATCTGGGAAACAGCAAAAACCTCTCTCCAGGCAGCACGGCAGATGGGGAGCAGGGCGGGCCGGCTTCCCGAAACAGCAGCGAGCCGCGTGGCTCCAGCGATGCCTTTCTCGGGGGAGAGAAGAAGAAAAAAATCCCCATTGATACGCCAGCGTCTCTGCCGGTGGAAGGCAAAGATGTTCTCGGTTATCATCTTCTCGATCCCCTCGGCGCAGACGTGGCGCGAGCACACTCATCCTTCAGGCTAAGCGATACCTGCGCTCACAGGTACACGTATTATTACACATATGCTAATAACGTTTTGCATTAACACAGAGGATGAACGTGCTTCGCGGAGATGCGTTCGCTCATTGATCCTCAGGGTGCCCGGGAGATCGCTCGGGGCGAGGGCCGGGGTGCCAGCTCTCTCAGATGCCAGGCGACCGCAGGGTGTACGCAGTTTGCTCAGGTTTGTCGGGTGGACCGTCTGCAGGGCCTGAGAGGACGCAGGATGCTAACTAACCTCAGGTCTGGACTGGCCCACACCGCACCCCTCTCATACACACAGCAGAGCCCGGCTGGTGTGGCTCAGTGGGTTGAACTTCGTCCCATGCACCATGGAGGTCGCTGGTTCGATTCCCGGTTGGGGCACAGGCCCGGGTTGCAGGCTCCATCCCCAGTAGGGGGCGTGCAGGAGGCGGCCGACCTATCTTTCTCTAACATCGATGTTTCTATCGTCTCTCCCTCTTTCTAAAACATCGATAAAGACATATTTATAAAACGCAAACACCAGAGACCTCACTGCGGTCATTTGACATCTCGTTCATCTCCTCGTCTTCTCCACCCTGCTCCTTCTAACGCCGGCACCCGCGGCCGTGGGAACCCCCGGGAAAGCTACGAGGCTGCTGTCAGAGACTCAGGGGGTTCCCTAGCTTTATCTTCCTGCTTCCCTCCTCTCCAGAGTCCACAGGCATCTCAGCTCACCGCACGCTTCCACCCCATTTCAACTCCATCACCTCACTTGTCTCACCACCTCACTTTATTTTACCAAAAAAAAAAAAAAAAAAAATGTTTTTATTGATTTCAGAGAGGAAACAAGAGGGAGGAAAAGAGAAGCATCCATGATGAGAGAGAATCATGGATCGGCTGCCTCCTGCACGCCCCACACTCGGGACCGAGCCCACAACCCGGGCATGTGTGCAGATGGGGAATCGAACCAAGACCTCCTGGTTCCTAGGCCGACGCTCAACCACTGAGCCACGCCAGGTGAGGTCAGCACCTCGTGTTTTAACTTGAGGGCTTCTGAGAGCTAAGCCCCTAGGACAGTGGTCCGAAAACTGCGGCTCGGCAAAGAGCAGTTCGAGAGCCACATGCGGCTCTTTGGCCCCTTGAGTGTGGCTCTTCCACAAAATACCGACTTCTGCACATGGACCACGAAGTTTCAATCGCACTATACGTGCGCGCCCACACGTGGTATTTTGTGGAAGAGCCACACTCAAGGAGCCAAAGAGCCGCATGTGGCTCGCGAGCCTCGGTTTGCCGACCACGGCCCTAGGGCACACCGCACCTCCTACACGCAACCTGGCAGTGAGCAGCTTGGCATGTCACTCAGGCTGTCAGAATGTCGCTGGCCACGCCCGCAGCCTCCAGCTCTGTCCAAGAGATGGGACCCAAATATTAGTAAAGCCACTAAGTCAGTGACCACAGACCCTGGCTCCCTGGGGTTCGGGGGCGCCTGAATGTTCCCGGGACCACCTCAGAGAGCCCCCTCGGTCCCGGGGGTCATGCCAGAAAGAGGACGTTACCATGAGGGCCGTGTAGGTGTAGGGATAGTGGTAGGCCAGGTAGCAGACGTCGCCATGGTGCGGGAAGGTGACGGAGAAGGTGAGGGTGTAATAGCACTTCCTGGACGTGCCCCCTGTGACAGCCATGCTCTCGCGATAGTGATTCCTAAAAAGAGAAAGGAGAAGAGAGGAGGGTGAGGGGGGCGGGAGGGAAACAGGCATTCTGGTTCTAGGCCGCCAATATGGCCACTCGAACGCTGAGAGATGGCACGAGTGAGCCATCAGCAATGTCTAGGCTGGTCCATCGGGCCTGCGTGGCTCAGTGGTTGAGCGTCAACCTACGAACCAGGAGGTCAGAGTTCGATTCCCGGTCAGGGCACATGCCCGGGTAGCAGGCTCGATCCCCAGGAGGCAGCCGATCCATGATTCTCTCTCATCATGGATGTTTTTCTCTCTCTCTCTCTCCCTCTCCCTTCCTCTCTGAAATCAATAAAAATATATTAAGGGGGGGGAAAAGTCTAGGCTGGCCCGTCTGTCTCCTCATGGTGGCGTACATGTCATGGGACTTCTTCTGATGTGTCTGAAAATGAGTCTATAGAGCCACTGAGACAAAAAAAAAGGTGAGTAATCCGGGTTACTTGGGGTTCTTGTGCCAACATCCACTTTTTATTTTTTTTACCCAAATTTGGGGTTTCCCAGCCTCTGCCTCTCCCCAGATCACCCAGAATGCAGTTCTTCTCCTCCCTCCCACCTGCCCCAGGGGGCTCATGAGCAATCACTGCTCTGTACTGAGTTCCAACTCGAAACGTAACAAGGCGCCTGATCACTGCAACAGCCCGTCGTGCAGATGCAGGAACAAAGGCTCGGAACACTCGACCTGCCGGAGGCCGAAAAGCCAGTCCGCAATCCGTGCAGGACTCGAACCCAGATCTGCCTGTCTGCCAGGACTCTGTTCCCGCCTCTCCACACCACCTTCCTCCCAAAGGGACACACATCTGTCATCCCCAACGCAGCCCGGCTTCTCCTAGCTCGAGACTGCACCGTTTCCTCTGTCAAGGATGAAGAAGCGATTTGGAGATTTCAGAGAATGGCATCCAAGTCCAGGGCCCCCAGAAGTACGTCTCCAAACAATAGGCTGCACCGTCACGCAAAACGCGCCCAGACGCCCAGGAGGAGGTGACCGTCTTCCAAGTCCTACACCAGGTAGAGGAGAAGCAGGGGTGAAGCAAAGAAGCCATCCCAAGTGGATCAACCCCAAGATGACGCTGCGTAAAAAGGGAGAGATGGACTGTGCACCCCCAGGCATCCTCTGTTAGGGAGAGCTGTTCTGTTTGGTGGTTGAATGGCGATACACACATGGACCCTGGGCTTTGATCGCATTCCTGGGAATATGTTAACATAAGGTGATGAATCGAGGTAAAACAAAGGACGCTGTGAAGTAGCAACCTTATCCATTCATCTCCGTGGCATTCGCGGCTGGGAAATGAAAAATGGATTACATGATGCATTGATGGTTTCCATGTCAGCCCTCTGTTCCTCTTTGATCACAGAACAATGGTCTTGTTAATGAGCCTAAAAGCTATTAACAGTCACGTTGGTTTTCTCGGGGCTTAGGCCAAAGTGAATTTTTTTAAAAATATAACTATCAATGATGAGAGAGAATCATCGACTGACTGCCTCCTGCACGCCCTCCACTGGGGATCGAGCCCGCAACCCAGGCATGTGCCCTTGACCGGAATCGAACCTGGGACCCTTCAGTCCACAGGCCGATGCTCTATCCACCGAGCCACACTGGCCAGGGCCCAAGGTGAATTTTGGATGTGTGGCTTCTTCCCTCCCCGGTTGGCAGACTTTTTTAAAAGTATATTTTTATTGATTTCAAAGAGGAAAGGAGAGAGAGAGAGAGAGAGAGAGAGAGAGAGATCAACGATGAAAGAGAATCACTGATTGGCTGCCTCCTGCGTGCTCACTACTGGGAATCAAGCCCGCAACCCAGGCATGTGCCCCGACGGGGATTCGAACCATGACCTACCAGTTCATAGGCCAGTGCTCAACCACTGAGTCACGCCAGTCAAGCTGACTATAGTTTTTAAGGGGCCTCTTGTAATCCGAAAAAAAGATAAGACTTAATTGATCCAAGAAAATAAGTACTAGCCTACCATTTTTATTAAAAAAACAACAACAAACAAACAAAACAAAAAAACACTAGCAATGAGCTGATAATTATATATTTTCTACCTGTTCCAACAACTGCTATCCCTTTTTCCCATGTGAATTGGTATTTTATTCCCCCCCCCCACACCCCCTCCGAATGCACACATAAGCAACTCATAGGGCTGGGATTCTTTTATCAAGAGCGTATGGATAATATCAGTTTCATGACAATTTAACAGGCTACATCATTGAAAGTGGTTAGCAGTCAAGGGCTGAAGATGAATTTTGAAGGCCCTTTCTCTTTTATTCAAAAAAAAAAATCATCTGACTCTGTGTATTTGCCATATATTCGCTCTCATCCACTTTGCAAAACTGAAGGACAGGATGAACAAGAATAGACCAGAAAGACAAGCATCACCCGATCTCACCCATATGTGGAATCTAAAGAACAGAATAAACTGATGAACGAAACAGATCCAGAGACACAGAAGCGTGGAACACAGGCTGACGAATCTCAGAGGGAAGGCGGGGGTGGGTGGGTGAGAAGAGGTCAGCCAAAGACTGTGTGTGCATATATGCATAACCCCTGGACGGGGGGGGGGGCATCTCTCCCACACTGATGTTTCTCTCTGCCTCTCAATGGGGGGGGAAGGGGGACACCTGTAATTCTTTCAATAATAGAGAGGTTTTTTTGTTTGTTTGTTTGCTTGCTTGTTTGCAAAAGAATAGGCCAGAATTTCTCAGGCTTTTTTGCTCACGAAAAACCAACAGGAAAGAGGAAAAGAATGACAGCTTGACGCACTAATCACAGCTTGAGTCTGTACAACTTCAGTAGCCAACCAGGTCTCCAGGTGCTAATGTGCCTGCAAACAGACAGACCATCTTCAGCAAATCAAAAGCTACTGCTTCAGATCTCCTTCGGGCACCATTTCACATGCTTCTGAAGGGCGGGTCAATTGCCACAGGGACAGGGACAAGTACGGCAGACAAGCACCTATGGCTGAGGTGTGTAAGAGCAACATGGAAAAGCAGGAAATGGAGAGAGAGAGAAAGAGCGCAGAAAAGAAACTAACAAATATCCGGACTCACTTGTAATAGCAGATTTCATAGCCCGTCCGCTTCCAGGTGGGTCTCCCGAGAAGAGCCTCCTTCACAGAATACATGGTAGGCTGCATCCCTACACAGAATAGAGGCCGGGTTAGTCCTTGGGGGCGAGAGAGCTGTAGCCGGCTGTCTGGTGGCCCTCAAGGATACCCAGGTCTGAATTCTGCAACCTGTGAATGTCACCTTCCACCGCAAGAGAGGTTTTGCAGACACGATTAAAGGCTCTTGAGCCCAGCAGGCGTGGCTCAGTGGTTGAGCGTTGACCTATAGACCAGGAGGTCACAGTTCGATTCCCGGTCAAGGGTACATGCCCAGGTTGTGGACTGAAGGATCCTGGGTTCGATTCCGGTCAAGGACACGTACCTCCGCTGCAGGCTCCCAACCCTGGTTGGAGGCGAGCGGGAGACCACCAATGGACACGTCTCTCTCACATCGATGTTTCCCTCTGCCTCTCCCCCGCCCTTCCACTCTCTCCAAAAGTCAATAGAAAAAATATCCTCGGGTGAGGATTAAAAAATGTGTCAACTCAACTTCAAATGCTTCGGGAAGCCAGCGGGACTCTGGCAAGGATCCAAACGCTCTCAAGACGACACCATCCCTGTGTTACCCAGAAAGCCGCCGCCCCCACCGGCTCCTACCGTAGTTGAACTGGCTGTTGGGCTTCTCGTAGTTGATGATGTTGAAGCGATACGGGGTGGCGGCCCTCATGCCGCGCACCTTGAAGTTGAACCACTGCTGGTACTGGGTGCAGTTGATGTCAGTGTTGATCAGCAAGTCATACTCAAACCTGCCGAGGCGGGAGCAAGGGCGGAGGGTGAGAGGTCTTTAAGGGAACCTCCCACACTCCCACACTGAGAATCGGCAGATCTCGGGTTCCCGTGGGCAGATCTAAGACCCGGGGTGGATGGCGGGTGAGTGACACTTGGCAGCCACATCTCACCATATCGGACGCGGGCTGTGGACATGCCCGGCCGGTGGGGCACGGGGTCTTGGTATCAGAAGCGTCCGTGACACATCCAGTGATTAAACTGCAATCAAGTGTCTAGCGAGCTGGAAGAATGCAAGTGCGCTACGGGCGCGGAGAAATGTCAAGCCCGGCTGGTTGGAGAGCCTGTGACTATTTAAAGCGAGACATTGCCTGGGAGCCTCAGTCTCCGCACATGGAAAATGAAAATAGTGTCCCAACTTCCAGTGCTGTTCGTAAAGATTAATTAATATGGTGTTTGGCCCAGTTGAGGTGGCTCAGTGGTTAAGCACTAACCTAGGAACCAATCAGGAGGTCACGGTTTGATTCCCGGTCAGGGCACAAGCCCGATCCCCCGTGGGGGACGTGCAGGAGGCAGCCGGTCAATGATTCTCTCTCATTGTTGATGTTTCTATCTCTCTCTCTCCCTCTCCCTTCCTCTCTGAAATCAATAAAAATATTTTTTTAAAAAAAGAACTGACTCTTGGAATTCACTGGTGGTGGTTGCCAATTTGCATGGTGTAAACACCACCACCACGGCTGATGGCAAGCTGCCAATCAATGAGAGGTCACTAAGAGCAGAGGGAAGGGATGGTCATACCTGCTCTCTTGAGCTGCCCGGGGCCACCCCGCTGCAGCTTTCTTTTATTTATTTTATTTTATTTTATCCTTTTTGGTTAATCCTCACCAGAAGATTTTTATTTTTTCCCATTGATGTTTTTAGAGAGAATGGAAGGGAGGAGAGAGAAGCATCGATGTGAAAGAGACACATTGATAGGTTGCCTCCCACACGTGTCCCGACCAGGGCAAGGGATTCAGCCTGCAACCAAGGTGCGTGCCCTTGCCTGAGAATCGAACCGGAGACCCTTCGGTCCTCTGGCCAGCGCTCTAACCACTGAGAACACCGGTCAGGGCCCATTGCCGCTTCCTTTACTTACTCACGCACTTGGATGGCTTTGCGCAGGTTTCCGGACTCGAACTGGGAGGAGAACCACAGGCAGTTGGGAGCCGTGCCTTGCCTGTAAGGAAGGAGGGGACGTGGGCACGGGCGTTACTGCCGCGGCTGGGTCCGGAGTGACATGTCTGAGAGGTGAGCTCTCTCTTCTAGACTTGGAAGCCACACGCTCGCCCTGCTGAGGGTAGGCGCAGGGAGGCCTCGCGAACAGGAAGCACGCTCCTGTCTCACGGCGCTGACAGAACTCTCCATGCTGCACCCACCTCCCTCCCTTCCACGGACGGTCATGTCCACCTACCAAGGCTCGTCCAAACTGAAGACGACTTTGTCTATCACGTCGCTGGGCTGAAGGAGCCTCCGGATGTCCTCGAATATCTTCACCCTGCGAAGGAAAATTAGAAACGCTTTCAAGGCTGACCCTCACTCCTTCCCCCACTCGTCCAATGATCCTCTTGGGAGTCATCAGAAACATAGGAAAGTTGCCTGGCGGATGTGGCTCTGTGGTTGAGTGTCGACTCAGGAACCAGAAGGTCACGGTTCGATTCCTGATCAGGGCCCATGCCCAGGTTGTGGGCTCAATCCCCAGTAGGGGGCGTTCAGGAGCAGCCAGTCGATAAAGTTCCTCTCTCATCGATGTTTCTCTCTCTCTATCCCTCTCCCTTCCTCTCTCTCTCTCTCTAAAAATCAATAAAAACAGCCCTAGCTAGTTTGGTTCAGTGGATAGAGCGTCGGCCTACAGACTCAAGGGTCCCGGGTTTGTTTCTAGTCAAGGGCACGTGCCCGGGTTGCAGGCTCCATCCCCAGTAGGGGGCGTGCAGGAGGCAGCCGATCAATGATTCTCTCTCACCATTGATGTTTTTCTCTATCTCTCTCCCTTCCTCTCTGAAATCAATAAAAATATATCTTTTAAACAAAAACAGAAGAGAAAAACATAGCTCCTGAGTCAGGACCACCCTCACCTTTGGATCCCACGCTTGCGTTCCAGCAGGGGTTCCGGGGAGTGAGATGGGCAGTGGCCCCAGAGGTCAGGGAACGCCGGCGTCTTGAAGTCAGCCACGGACTTGGTGCCTCTGGCTTTGGCCAGATAGACATAGGGGTCGTGGAAGGGCACGTGCTGGGGGTGTGTCTGCAGAAGCTCATGGATTCCGTCCGCAGTGCCCCCAGGGGGAGTGGAGCTGAGAAGGGAGGCGCCTGTCCTTGCACAGGAGGTCATGTCCATGTCCCAAGCATCCTCTTGGAGGAGAGTCTCAAGGTCAAGGACTTCCTTTCCGGAAGGATCCACCCCAAGCCCGTTGGGCTGGGCGTGTGGGTGCGGGTTCGTTCCAGGTCCGTTTTTGGAAACGGGGTGCCCGGGGGACCTCCCCCTCTTGGCCTTGCTCAGGAGGGACGTCTCGGGGGCAGCTTCCCTCTCCTGTCCCCGCGAGCCCTGGTCCTCATCCAGGTGACGCTGCTTCAGGGAGGCGGCGGTTGGAATGTGGAGGTGGTTGGCGTCAGGGTGGACGTCATATCCGGGTGTGGGCTCCAGGTCCTTGGGGGGTAAAGCAGACGAGAACGTGTCAGTGTTCCCTCCCAGGGAGACAAGACGACCCCTCCCTGCCCTCACTCTCTGGGCCAGAGCTCAGCATAAACCCTGTGGATCAAGGAGCTTTCTCCAAGGCCAGCCACAGAAAGACTACGCTTCAAGAGTCAAAGACATGGCCCTGGCCGGTCTGGCTCAGTGGATAGAGCATCTGCCTGCGGGCTGAAGGGTTCCAGTTCAATTCCCCTCAAGGGCGTGTACTTCGGTTGCAGGCTCGATCCCCGGCCTTGGTTGGCGCTCTTGTCGGAGGCAGCCGACCGATGTGGCCCTCTCACATCAATGTTTCACTCTCTGTCTCTCTCCCTCCCTCCCGTCCACTCTCTCTAAAAATCAACAGGAAAATATCCAAAAGGTGAGAATTTAAAAAAGAGAGAGAGAGATTCAAACAAATGGCAGAATCAAAGAAACTCTCGTTTGCAGGGGCTTTGGGTGAGGCTAGTATCACCCTAAGAAGGACAGGGATGCCATCTGCCACACCCCCAATACGTTCGTCTGTCTGGTTGAAGAACCTCACTTTTAGGGTCTTCCCAGCACCCCAAGGAAGCGCCTTTTGGTTAAGGATCATCCTGATGGTTTGCAGAAAGTGTAAACAATCCTTTACACGGAACTGCAATGTCCCCCTGAAATTCCTTCCTGCGGATCCCTTCTCTGCTTTCGGGAGTGCAGTAGACGGTACTAACTCCCTCTGACACGGGACTGGCTTGTACCGTTAGATACAGCCGAGTTCATGATTTATGGAGAGTCGTCAGCAAGTAGCCAAGGTCAAAAGGCAGGCCCTGACCAGTTTGGCTCAGTGGATAGAGCGTCAGCCTGCAGACTGAAGGGTCCCAGGTTTGATTCCGGTCAAGGGCATGTACCTTGGTTGCGGGCACATCCCCAGTAGGAGGTGTGCAGGAGGCAGCTGATCGATGTTTCTCTCTCATCGATGTTTCTAACTCTCTATCCCTCTCCCTTCCTCTCTGTAAAAAATCAATAAAACATATTAAAAAAAAAAAAAAAAAAAAAAGACCAAAAGGCAGGTCTGAACTACTGGTGGCAGCAACAGCCCCAGGATTCAATCACCAGGCATGAGGCTCGCAATTTGCTTCTACCGACAAGCAGCCCTGGCATCCGGCGGGGCCCCTTCCTTCGGAAAGCCGCCCGGGGCCTGCTCCCCCTCTGACAAGGGAACAAGGAGATCAGCCGGAATCGAACCGCGACCTCATGGTTCCTGGGTCGACGCTCAGCCCCCGAGACACGCCCTTCGGGCCTCTCTCACATTCTCGTGTCACCTCCTGCTTCTCCCTCAGAAGCACATGGGGAGGGGTGAGCCATGCGCCCGCTCCATCTGCAGGCCCCGGCGTGGCCCCGGGTTCTGCAGAGGCCCCATCGTGGAATCACGAATCCCGGCGGGGGGCAGGAGGGGGGGGGGCAGAACCGCGATGTAAGTCCCACCTCAAAGCTGCAGGAGAGCTCCAGGCACATGGCCTCGTACTGCCTCAGCTCCTCTTCGGGCCGGTCAAGTCCAGGTTTGGAGCTCAGCTTGTTGACGTCTGTTTCCAAGTCATCGTCCTGCAGGGGGACATTCAAGACACGTGTCACCACCGAGAAAGCCACCCGGAGACATCGGGACAGGGTGTATATGGGACCCTTCACAGCCCTGGGTCACGGTGTCCTTGCCTCCGAATTACAGTGCGGGCCCACGCAAAGGACAGTTTAATGGGTCGCGTTGCTTTTTAAAAACAAAGAGCCTGGTCAGCGTGGTGGCTACGTGGTTGAGCGTTGACCTATGAGCCAGGAGGTCACGGTTCAATTCCCGGTCAGGGGCACATGCCCGGGTTGTGAGCTCGATCCCCAGTAGCTCCGATCCCCGGAGGCAGCCGATCCATGATTCTTTCTCATCATGGGTGTTTCTAACCCCTCTCTCCTTTCCTCTCAGAAATCAATAAAAAAAATTTTAAATATTTATATTCTTGATCCAGGGGAGTCGGGGACGGGGAAGGAAAGGAAATGCAATATTCCATCCATCTTCCACAATTTTCCTCCAAACCTCAAATGAAAAGAACAAAGACAGATCCTGTGCGGGAGACTTAATGGTATTTTCCGATGGGGTACACACCAGGCCCACACGCTGCAGCCTGGTGGTGGGGCTCCCCGCTTTATCTCTCAGGCCCTCCTGGCCTCCAGCATCTGGCCCAGGCTGGCACCCACGGCAACACAGCCGGGCAAGCGCTGGGAAGTGGGGTCGGGGTGAAGAGAGGCTCGGGCCACAGCTGGTCCTTGCCCGTCAGATACACGAGTGGCTGCCACTCTTCATTAGACGGCCAGTCCTCCGGGAGCGGGCGTGAGGGGAGGGGAAGGTGGCACTGATGGATGGCTGCGGCAGCACGGCATTATTCAAATAATGCGGCACGGACTCCGAGTCCCGCACTGCCGAGCTACAGCAAAGAACCAATTTTCCACCGATGGCTTCAGAAATGATTCTATTCATCAGTGAGACCCGGAGAACACCAGAGTGTCAATGGCAGCCTTCACCTGCGGACCTGGCTAAGAGGGGGTCCTTATAGGTCAGCTACTGTCATCAGCAAGGTGAGTGATCGCTATATAGAGAACTCGGGGAGCCTCCTGCTCTCTAAAGAGACAGGTAGGCAGGCCAATAGGTAAGAAAAAAGGAAGGGAGGAAGGGGGGTGGATAGATGGATGGATGGATAGATGCATGGACAGATGCATAGATAGATGGATAGATGGATGGATAGATAGATAGATAGATAGATAGATAGATAGATAGATAGATAGATAGATAGACAGATGATAGACAGATGCATAGATAGGTAGATAGAAGTATAGATGGATGGGATGGATGGATAGATAGATAGATAGATAGATAGATAGATAGATAGATGCATAGATAGGTATATAGATAGAGGTATGGATGGATAAATATATGCATAGATATATGGATGGATGGATGGATGGAAAGATAGATGCATAGATACATAGATAGACACATAGATGATAGATAGACGCATAGATGGATGGATAGATTGGTAGATAGGTACATAGATAGATAGAAAGAAAGATAGATGCATCAATAGATAGATGGATGGGTAAGTAGATAGATGCATAGATAGATAGATAGATAGATAGATAGATAGATAGATAGATAGATAATTTTTAAATCCAGGTTTTATATCCAGGAATGTCTTAAAAGGTAGCATTTACTTCTCAGTCTTATTTTGAGGATGACAAAATTAAGGAACTATCACTTGAAGGGCTTGTCCAAGTTAAAGTCTACCAACACAAACGAAGACAGAATTAATAACCCTAGATAACGTTACCATTACTACAGAGCAGTGGTTCTCTAGTCAGGGGTGATTTTGCCCCACAAGGGACATTGGGTCCTTCCTGGAGACATTTTTGGTTCATGATGGGGTAGGGAAGGAGAGGGGACGGGGGGGGGGGGGGGGGGGGGCGGGTGCCATCTAGTGGATGGAGGCCAGGGATGCTGCTAAACATCAGACACTGCCCAGGAACAGCCCCCTCCACAAAGAACTATCCAGTCACATGCCAATAGCACCACAATTTAGAGACACTTTCCTAGTCTGGCCGACGTGGCTCAGTGGTTGAGCATCAACCCAGGAACCAGGAGGTCTCAGTTTGATTCCCTGTCAGGGCACACGCCCCAGTTGCCGGCTCGATCCCCAGTAGGGGGCGTGCAGGAGGCAGCTGACCCATGATTCTCTCTCATCATGGATGTTTTTATCTCTCTCTCCCTCTCCCTTCCTCTCTGAAATCAAGAACAATATATATATATATTTTTAAAAAGAACAGCAGCTGTCATTTATTGAGCAAACCAATCTGCCAGGCACTGGGCGGGAAGACAAAAGTAAGTCCTTAAAATTCACGCTGGTATTAGCTGACAACCGGCAGTGATATCTTCCCTGGTCCCCCGTGAACATGGGGATCGCTAGAAGCAAGGGCTGGTGTACCTACTTCCTCTTTCGCATCTTCAGAATCGGAGTCTCTGTCCTCTTCTTCGTCACCATCATCTTCGAAGTCCTCTGGGTGGGGAAAGGGAGGGGAAGTGGGTGAGGCTCGCCCTTTGTCTCGGGTTTGGATCAGCATGTCTTCCCCTGATGAATCAGGAGCTCACGATGGAGGGCACGCGACCCCCACGCACCCCAGGGCTCACTCAAGGCCTGTGAGACCTTTAGCAGTGTCAGTGTCTACACTGCTGTCCCACTCATTTTATTCTGCACTCATTTTGCAGGATAAAATGACACCGGCATACCATTCTGGCTTCCCCCACCCAACTCAGAAGAATGTATGCAACTCCCTGCCAAAGGTTAGAGGTCACCTCCATGCAAAATGTGTTGCAGACTCCCTAATTTTGATATGAAGGAGCTTCTTTGAAACACAAGTCCATAGACACAGCCAGTGGAAAAGTATCGATTCCAGCCCGGCCAGCGTGGCTCAGTGGTTGAGCGTCAACCTCTGAACCAGGAGGTCACAGTTCGATTCAGGGTCAGTGCACATGCCCGGGTTGCGGGCTTGATCCCAGTAGGGGGCGTGCAGGAGGCAGCCGATCCATGATTCTCTCTCATCATGGATGAGATAGATAGATAGATACAAATATCTTTAAAAAATAAATAAAAACTCGCTGTAAAGCTCACAGACACCCACTTACTTTACCTTCAGCGAGAAGGCGTGGGGGTTCTGACGGGAGGTGCCCGGGGGCGGGGAAGACGTAGGCACTGCTGGCCGTGATCAAGGGAAGAGGGCTCTTGGGGTAGCACTGCCTCAGGATCTGAAGAGCGACGGACGTGACGGGTTCCAGGCTCCTGTCCTCCAGGGAGCTCTGCACAAAGGGAAGATCGCGTCATTTTCGCCAGTGTCTGTGGAGTCCCTTTGCCGCAACAGGACTCCAGGTCATGAGTGACAGGTAGGCAGCACGGGCAGTAAACACGCTCAGCGCAAGACATCTGCTGCGAACACCACGGGGCAGAATCGTGTCTGGCACGGACGCGGCTTTAGTCTAGGGCACTGGTCGGCAAACCACGGCTCCGCAAACCGCAGCTCGTGAGCCACATGTGGTTCTTTGGCCCCTTGAGTGTGGCTCTTCCATAAAATACAGGCTCTTCCACAAAATACCGACTTCTGCGCATGGGCCACAAAGTTTCACCATCATCATCACCACCATCACCATCACCATCATCACCACCATCACCATCATCATCATAACTACCACCACCATCACCATCACCATCATCACCACCATCACCACCATCATCATAACTACCACCACCATCACCATCATCATCACCATCACCATCACCATCATCACCACCATCACCATCATCATCATAACTACCACCACCATCAGCATCATCATCACCATCATCACCACCATAACCACCATCACCATCATCATCACCATCAGCATCATAACCACCATCACCATCATCATCACCATCAGCATCATAACCACCATCAGCATCATAACCACCATCACCACCATCACCATCATCATCACCATCAGCATCATAACCACCATCACCATCATCATCACCATCAGCATCATAACCACCATCACCATCATAACCACCATCACCACCATAACCACCATCACCATCATCATCACCATCAGCATCATAACCACCATCACCATCATAACCACCATCACCACCATAACCACCATCACCATCATCATCACCATCAGTATCATAACCACCATCACCATCATCATCACCATCAGCATCATAACCACCATCACCATCATAACCACCATCACCACCATAACCACCATCACCATCATCACCATCAGCATCATAACCACCATCACCATCATCACCATCAGCATCATAACCACCATCACCATCACCATCACCATCAGCATCATAACCACCATCACCATCATCATCATAACCACCATCACCATCATCATCACCATCAGCATCATAACCACCATCACCATCATCATCACCACCAGCATCATAACCACCATCACCATCATCATCACCATCAGCATCATAACCACCATCACCATCATAACCACCATCACCACCATAACCACCATCACCATCATCATCACCATCAGCATCATAACCACCATCAGCATCATAACCACCATCACCACCATAACCACCATCACCATCATCATCACCATCAGCATCATAACCACCATCACCATCATCATCACCATCAGCATCATAACCACCATCACCATCATCATCACCATCAGCATCATAACCACCATCACCATCATAACCACCATCACCACCATAACCACCATCACCATCATCATCACCATCAGCATCATAACCACCATCACCATCATCACCATCAGCATCATAACCACCATCACCATCATCATCACCACCAGCATCATAACCACCATCACCATCATCATCACCATCAGCATCATAACCACCATCACCATCATAACCACCATCACCACCATAACCACCATCACCATCATCATCACCATCAGCATCACCATCACCATCAGCATCATAACCACCATCACCATCATCATCATAACCACCATCACCATCATCATCACCATCAGCATCATAACCACCATCACCATCATCATCACCATCAGCATCATAACCACCATCACCATCATCATCACCATCAGCATCATAACCACCATCACCATCATAACCACCATCACCACCATAACCACCATCACCATCATCATCACCATCAGCATCATAACCACCATCACCATCATCACCATCAGCATCATAACCACCATCACCATCATCATCACCACCAGCATCATAACCACCATCACCATCATCATCACCATCAGCATCATAACCACCATCACCATCATAACCACCATCACCACCATAACCACCATCACCATCATCATCACCATCAGCATCACCATCACCATCAGCATCATAACCACCATCACCATCATCATCATAACCACCATCACCATCATCATCACCATCAGCATCATAACCACCATCACCATCATCATCACCATCAGCATCATAACCACCATCACCATCATCATCACCATCAGCATCATAACCACCATCACCATCATAACCACCATCACCACCATAACCACCATCACCATCATCATCACCATCAGCATCATAACCACCATCACCATCATCACCATCAGCATCATAACCACCATCACCACCATCACCACCATCAGCATCATAACTATCTCTGACGCAGAGGGGACTCCTGCGCTGGTTACCTGTGTGCTACTGAAGAGGATCTCCATGCCCTGCGCTGCCAGGAAGGCCTCCCTGCCAGACTGGAGGGTGGCAATGTGCTTGAGGCAGAGTAGAAGTGCCCGGCGGATCGGCAGGTAGCTGTTGGCCGTGTCGTGGCTGTGCCAGTCCTGATGCAGCCGGAGCAAGCTGGCGACGTAGCCCCTGTTCACCGCCCTGCGGCTGTTAGACTCTGAAACCAACGGGAAAAGGCGATGTCGGTCACGGGCTCCCCTGGGGGCACCGGAGACACTTGTTAATGACAAAGGGAATGGTCATAACTGTCCAGTGGAGAACACTGGCCAGTGCCACCGAATCGAGCGATGAATGTGCATCACCAAGCCCTGGCCAGGTGGCTCAGTGAGTTAAAGCATCATCCTGATACACCAAGGTTATGGGTTCAATCCCCGGTCAGCGCACATACAAGGATCAGCCAATGAATGTATGAGTAAGTGCAACAACACCTCTCTCTCTCTCTAAATTAAAAGAGAGAGAGAGAGAGAGAGAGAGAGAGAGAGAGAGAATACATGCTTCTAGCCGAGTGTTTAGGAAAGACGCCCTGAGCTGTAATCAGATACGCATGAATTAAAGCTCAAACTCCAGACCCTTCCCTCAGACCACATAAGTGCACAGGAGTGAAGACATAACCTGAAAATTCAGTGCTTTATTCCAGAAGGGTTTTCTCATATTAATGAATCTCTCTCTCTCTCTCTCTCTCTCTCTCTCTCTCTCTCTCTCTCTCCCTCCCTCCCTCCCCCTCCCCCTCTCTCTTTATTCTGCTTGTTTGTCAAATTCTAAATGGTCAGGCCTGACGACGCCCCTCTGAGATTTTTGACCCATTTCTTCAGTTGGTTTTCCTTTTTAATTTTTTTTTTATGCTTTTCAAGATTTCATTCAGCCAGGACCCTGCCCTGAGAGAGATGAGCTTTATTCACTCCTGGTCTGTTGGGGGAAGGTTTCCATCGCCTTCATTCCTCCTTGAATGAATTATTCTGCTGCATCAGAAACCTCTCTCTCCTGGGCCAGTCCCAGCCACAATGCGCTCTGAGCTCTTTACCGCCTACATGAGGTCCAGCCTGCCCAGTAGCTGACATTTAAAAGAAAACGGAAGATTAAGTGGGAGGTATTAAACCAGTGGTTCTCAACCTGTGGGCCGCGACCCCTTTGGCGGTCGAAGGACCCTTTCACAGGGGTCGCCTAAGACCATCCTTCATATGAGATATTTACATGACGATTCATCACAGTAGCAACATAACAGTGATGAAATAGCAACGAAAATAATGTTATGGTTGGGTCACAACATGAGGAACTGTATTTAAAGGGCCAGAAGGGTGAGAACCACTGTATTAAAGGGAAGACTCGCCCGCTGAGAAGATGCCAGATAGGCTAAAACAGTGCCTGGAGGTGCCACGTGGGAGATGAAGGACTTTTGTTTTTATCTGTGTAAGGGTACGTTCTATCCTAACGACCTTCAGACTTTTTGGAAGGATGAGGGGGACGATGGGGGGAAAAAAATCTTTAAGTATCTGAGAGGAAAAAAACAAACAAAACCCTTATCAAATCCCAGTGACTTTATTCATGATTCCCTGTTAATCCGCAGTAAGCGGTCATGTTTACTAACATCGGAAATGGCCGTCCCACCCCCCACCTCCCCATCACCTCACATCAGTCGATCTTTCTCTGAGAATAGCTTGGGGAGTTTTGCTAAGCCCATACTTATCTGAAACCTGACAAGAGGACCTGCATCGCAAGGAGGGAGAGCGAATATAAATAGAGAAGAGGCAAAGGGTGGATGAAATGAGGGCCACTGGGGTCAGCAACGTGGAAGACTCTAGAAAATTAGGGAGGAGCACACGGCTTCTCTGCGGGAGGCCAAAGAGCCAGGGAAAATGGGAGGTTCCCGACACTGTTTGGGGTGAGCTGGAAGATTGGGGGTGGGCTAGGGCAGGTCCCCCAACCCTCCTCAAAACAGACCAGCGATACTTTGGTTTGCTTACGTAAATGGCTTCTTGCTAAAATGTTCTAATGGGGCGGGGGGGGGGGGATACTATTTCTTAATATTTTTTTAATGTATTTTTTAAATTGATGACAGAGAGGAAGGCAGAGGGAGAGAGAGAGTTAGAAACATCAATGATGAGAGAGAATCATGGATCGGCTGCCTCCTGCAGGTCCCACACTGGGGATCGAGCCCGCAACCCAGGCACGTGCCCTGGCCCGGAATGGAACTGTGACCTCCTGGTTCATAGATCGACGCTCAACCACTGAGTCTCGCCGGCTTGGATGCCTGTGTCAGTCTTGCTGGTTAACGTTGGAAGACATCGGTTTCCCTGCACAGTATGAAGGACTGTGCCCGGTGTGGCCACAGTAGGGATCCTCGGTCTCTCGGGCGTCCGCATGGTGACCGCTGTGCAAACACGGGTCTCCACCGTGTCTTAGCCTTCCAGAGACTCTGCGAGAGGTCTGAGCTGTTAGCCAACACACGCCACCTCCATACGTGACCCCGGGCCTCCCCCAGCACAGGCACACTGTTGTCAAAGCAACACCGCAGCCCAGACTTGCAGATAGAGCTGGGCGAGCTGGTGCTGGTGACCACGACAGCACGCAGCTTGGGTGTAAGAACCAGGGTTGCTGCAATCTTGTAGCAATTTTTTAAAAAAGATTTTTTAAAAATATATTTTATTGGTATTGTACAGAGAGGAAGGGAGAAAGATGGAGAGTTAGAAACATCAATGAGAGGGAAACATCCATCAGCTGCCTCCTGCACACCCCCTACTGGGGATGTGCCCGCAACCAAGGTACATGCCCTTGACCGGAATCGAACCTGGGACCTTTCAGTCCGCAGGCTGACGCTCTATCCACTGAGCCAAACCGGTTCCGGCTAAAAGATTTTTTAAATGGATGGTTAGCGAGAGAGGAAGAGAGAGGGAGAGAGAGAGAAACAAACATCACGTGAAAGTGAAATGTGGGTCGGCTGCCTCCTGCAGGCCTCCCACTAGGGATGGAGCCTGCAACCCGGGCACGGGCCCTGACTGGGAATCGAACCGGCAAGCCTTCGGCACACGAGACAACGGGCAAACGAACTGAGCAACACCGGCAGGGCTATGGCAATGTTTTACGTGGCCAAGTTCTGTGTCCACGTCTCTGCCTGGGGGTCTCTGAATGCCCTGGCCACCCTGCCAGCCCCTCTAACCCCCACTGGAAGCTGACCGTCCTCGTCTAATCAGGTCCTGTTTCATGAGGCATCTGAGTCCCAAGGGACTGCAGAGTTACCGGAGTGCGGCTCCAGGATGAATACACGTTGCATCCTTTTTTCTGAGTCACATTTCACAAACTCCTCATCAGGGCCTCATAGTGAAAGACAAACACGTCTTCCAAACCGCCTAGAAGATGGACCTGCCCGTCTTTTTCTTTTTTTCAGGGAGGAAGAGAGAGATAGAATCATCAGTGATGAGAGAGAATCATGGATCGGCTGCCTCCTGCACGCCCCCTACTGGGGATCGAGCCTGCAAACTGGGCATATGCCCTGACCGGGGATCGAGCCATGACCTTCTGGTTCGTAGGTGGACGCTCAACCACTGAGCCCCGCCCGCTGGGCCATGGTCTATAATTAAACATCACGCTCCATGGTCACCGAAGGTGCCCTAACACACAGACATTTTCTCTCCCACTCCCCACCCTCCTGCCCGCTTCCTCCAGGAAACAGTTCATGAGACATATTATGGAAGGGGAGGAGGATGCCTGTGGACAGTGGGAAGGCAGACGGGCGTGTCCGTGCTGCCTTTGACCTTGGCCGTGAAGGTCAGGAAGATGCAGGTTATCCGAAAGGTGCGAGGGAGTTGGGGAAAGGTAAGTGCAAGACTTGGGGCTGTTTACCTGAGGCAGCCCCCCCCCCCCAAAAAAAAGCTGCTGCTGGAAGCCTCCCCAAGTCCTTTCTAATCCTGCTAACCTCCCCGGGAGCACAACCAATTCCAGAGGCTCCTCCAGCCCCCGGCTCCAGGCACCCGCCGCCTCCCCACTCCCTTAAATAATGGCTGAGCCAATGCCTCTGAGACCGTCCTCTGCTAATTTCCTTCAAGACAGGCTAGCTGCTCACGCTGGGAAGCGCAGATAGTGTGGAATGGCAAATGCGGGCAAAATTAGATTAAAATAACCTCCTGATAAACAAATGACTCGCCTCCAATAAATATTGGACTCGCGTGGCCCAGATAACTAAAAGAACAGCGCCACCACCTGGCAGCGAGAGGAACTGCAAGGCCTGTGCCAGTCAGCCCACCCAACCACGGGGTCCCACAGAGGGGAAGCAGGGGGGATGGTGGTATTCTTTTAGCTTACACTTTTAAAAATATTTTATGGCCCGGCCGGCGTGGCTCAGTGGTTGAGCGTCCACCTATGAACCAGGAGGTCATGGTTTCATTCCCGGTCAGGGCACTTGCCCGGGTTGCGGGCTCCATCCCCAGTAGGGGGCGTGCAGGAGGCAGCCGATCCATGGTTCTCTCTCATCACTGATGTTTCTTTCTCTCTCTTACCCTTTCCCTTCCTCTCTGACATCAATAAAAACATATTTTAAAAAATACTTGATGTACTTACGCAAAAGACCAAAGAAAAATATTTGGTGGGGAAGTCAGAACTTTAAAGCCAAGGGGGAAAAAGTCATGTTCCAAGTTGAGCGGGGCTGGTAATATAGGATCTATGATTCTTCCCGCCCCCGTTCCCTTTCTCTCCATCCATTCCATCATCGCCAACCTCATCTGCTGCTGCTAAGCCTCATGGCAGAGACTGGGCCCTGGCACAGCCACCTGGCGATGGGGCGCCTCCTCCTGGTCCCATTCAGACGTTTATATGGGGTGGACGCTCTTTTCTAAAGAACTAAATGACAGCCCGGCCAGTGTAGCTCAGTGGTTGAGCATCGACCTATGAACCAGGAGGTCACGGTTCGATTCCGGTCGGGGCACATGCCCGGGTTGCAGGCTCCATCCCCAGTAGGGGGCGTGCAGGAGGCAGCCGATCCATGATTCTCTCTCATCACTGATGTTTCCATCTCTCTCTCTCCCTTCCTCTTTGAAATCAATACAAATATATTTTAAATATAGAGAACGAGCCCTAACTGGTTTGGCTCAGTGGATAGAGTGTCGGCCTGAGGACTGAAGGGTCCCGGGTTCGATTCCGGTCAAGGGCATGTACCTTGGTTGTGGGCACATCCCCAGTAGGGGGTGTGCAGGAGGCAGCTGATTGATGTTTCTCTCTCATTGATGTTTCTGACTCTCTATCCCTTTCCCTTCCTCTGTGTAAAAAAAAAAAAGAGAGAGAGAACGAAAAAACTAAATGACAGATGCTCCGGCCCCCCAAATCCTTCTAATACTTAGAAAGTATTTATTTAGCTTCCTCTCAGCTTTGGGTCTTATCTTCTTTAAGCTAAAAAGCAAACAAACAAAACAAAATCCTAACCCTCGTTCATCTCCTCCTGGCACACACAGGGCTCAGGCCCCAGAGCCTGGCGGGTAAACTCTGAGGCCCACAGGCTGGGTGCACGGCCTCAGCCACCCAAACCTCAGTCCTCTCACCTGTAAAATGGGGTGGTCACCAAGCCTCCGTCACAGACCGGATGCCGGTGCCGTGGCTGACATCCGAGGAGCCCAATAAACAGCAGACACTGCACTGTCACGTCCGCCCCACCCCGTGATGGATGGAGCCTGCGATTCCGCATTTGCACAAAGTCGACCGTGTCTCGTCTGCCTGCCAAGCTTCCCATTAGCTCTCTTGCATCGCTGTCTCCCCCCGCTCTCCTGTCTCCCTTCCTTGACTAACCTACTTTCCTATTCCCAGCACACCCCCCTCCCCACCCACACACACACACCCCAACTTCTGCAAACTTCCAGGCGCCTCTAAAACTGCCGTGGACGGAAAGACCCACGCGCCAACCTGACAAGCTCGGGGGAGGCCTGGGCGGCGGCCTTTGCAAACTCACAGACCTAAAGTCACCACGGAGGACGGTCTGAAATTAAAACTGTAACTGAGAGCAGTGTATGGTGGGTAGCCACGTCCCAGGCCGGTATCTTTCCTGGCAAAGGTCCATCTTTACCTTAACCTTACCTCTTTGCCTCTAAAATCCCTTGGAATGTCAAAGGGATTTTCCCTTTTTTTCCAGACCCCTCAAAGCACAGGCCCTTTGAAGACCCCCAGCCTCTGCACACCCATAGGCCTTTGCAAACCCCCAGCCTTTGCACACCCACAGGCCTTTGCAGACCCCCAGCCTTTGCACACCCACAGGCCTTTCCAAACCCCCAGCCTTTGCACACCCACAGGCCTTTGCAGACTCCCAGCCTTTGCACACCCACAGGCCTTTGCAGACCCCCAGCCATTGCACACCCACAGGCCTTTGCAATTCTCCAGCCCGCTCACCTGTAAGCTGCCCATTTGGCATCACCCTTTCGCCGACTTCCCATGTAACCTTTGTCCTTGCACCCACTACCAGCAGCTGGCCTATGGTGGGGGCAGAGCAGATGTTTGTGGGTGCCCTGCTGCTCCCCCACGCTGCCGACAGGACTGGAACCAACACTCATGTAGGATTCCACCCTGTCTCTGCTGAATGGGCTCAAGGAGTGACAGGCAGCCGGAACCCACGGACTGTCCAGTTACAGAAGCGCTGTGTGTTGCGTGGCTTTCTCTGGGCTCAGAGCTGACAGAGATGTATGTTTTGGGGGAGGGGGGAGGTGCTTGTATTTTTATTTATTTATAAGTTTTATTAAAGTTCACTTCTTACCCACAGGCCCTGAGCTCCCTACAGAGAAACAAATATTACAATCGCAGCAGCTGGTTTCCAAGCTGCCAAATTAAAATAGATGAAGAGGTGAGGAGGGGGAGATAAAACCGCTCCGCGAGGCGGCTTCGCTCCCAAGCGCACGGTGCCGTCTATCACACCGCACATGTGAAGCCGGCTCCCAGCACAATTAGACGCGGCCCCCCGGCGAGAAAAACGATCCTCAAATTATCCAGACGCCACCACGACCCCGAGCTACTCTTTGAGGTGAACTCGAGTAACTGAGAACAGACCCAACCCCTTCCTATCGATTTGTTATCGGCATCTACACTGTCTGAGCAATTCCTGATGCCCCGCCCCACCTGCCCAAGAATACACACCCGGGTTGGGAACCAAACACAAGAATCCTGCTTATGCCTGGCCACCGGCATGGCTCCCTGGTTGAGCGACAACCTATGAACCAGGAGGTCTCGGTTCGATTCCCCGTCGGGGCACATGTCCCTGTTGCGGGCTCCATCCCCAGTAGCAGACCTTTGGGAGGCAGCCGATCACGTGTTCTCTCTCATCACTGATGTTTCTCTCTCTCTCTCTCTCCCTCTCGGAAACCAATCCTATCTAATAAAAGGCTAATATGCAAATCGACCAAACGGCAGAACGACCAGTCGCTATGACGCTCACTGACCACCAGGGGGCAGACGCTCAATGCAGGAGCTGGCCCCTGGTGGTCAGTGTGCTCCCACAGGGGGGAGCACCGCTCAGCCAGAAGCCGGGATCATGGCTGGCGAGCACAGCGGAGGTGGTGGGAGCCTCTCCCGCCTCCGCAGCAGCACTAAGGATGTCCTAGTGATGGCTTAGGCCTGCGGAGAGTGGGCGCAGGCTGGGCTGAGGGAACCTCGTCTCCCCGAGTACACGAATTTCGTGCACCAGGCCTCTAGTAAAAATATAACAATAATAATAATAAAAGAATCCTGCTTCTCCCCCACTGTCAGAACCTCTTCTTCTCCAGGACAATCCCACTGGGACTGGAGTTTGTTCCAACAGTCCTCACGGGCAGCTAAGAAATCTGCAGGTCCCCACAGACAATGCCCTCCCTTTAGAACCAACCGCCTTACTGGCATTACATACAGGCACGCCCCGGGGGAGGGAGGTCAGCTCTCTCTCCGCAGCCGTGAGCTTGGAAGGGCCCTAACATTCTCCATCGCACCCCAAAGACCCCCAGGAATGGCCCTGTTGCCCTCTAGGAGGGAAACGAGCCAACACACAGACAGAAGGGCACCTTGCCCTGAACTCGAAGGGGGAGAGGGAGAGCCCCCTTTCAGGGGAGGTGCTTACTGGATTTCAGCAAGGCCGCCAGGACCTCCACGGCTGCCCTGGGGAGAGAGAGAGAAAGGGGGAGACGTCAGTGACCACGGAATCCCACAGCCCACAGGCGTGGCTGCCTCCTACCGGCCTCGCGGTGAACCAGGGGACGGGCATCCTGCCGTGCTACCGCCGGCCACCGCAGAGGCGAAAACGCAGAGATGGCACGGAGTGGCCCGTCCATCTCACAGACGGGTTGCAGGAGTCCCCTCCCCCTCTTGCCTCCCCCCTTCCACCGAGGCCCCCACACAGAGAACCTCCCTTTCCTGCGGCTCCTTCCCCACCAGGACTCTCCATTTATCCCGGAGTCCAGGGGACTGAAGGATGAGGGCGGGAGGGGGGCCCCAGGCAGAGGGAGTGCCGTGAGCACTTTTTTCTTCTAAGTGAATTTTTGTTATTGGTTTCAGAGAGGGAGAGAGAGAGAGAGAGAGAGAGAGAGAGAGAGAGAGAGAGAGAGAGAAACATCCATGATGAGAGAAAATCACTGATCAGCAGCCTCCTGCACGCCCCCCACTGGGGATCGAGCCCAAAACCCGGGCATGTGCCCTGACTGGGAATCGAACCCTGACCTCCTGGTTCATAGGTCGATGCTCAACCCCTGAGCCACGCCAGCTGGGCAACTTTTGGAAACACGGCTGGCCCCAGGACACACTCCACTGTTTCCGAAACACCCACAGGTTGGGAAGCGAGGCTGGTTCCTTAGGGTGGAAGATGGTTATGGGGTGGTTTTCCTTCCAAACTATTTTCGCAGTCTCTGCAGCAACGACAGGCGTGTAGACTACAAATGCCTCTGGTCTGTGTTTCAAGGACCTTTCTGTCTGCCCGCTCCCCCAACCCCCACCCCAGATTCTGAAGACTGCAGAGCAGGTCAAAGAGGCTGGATGAGTCCAGCCGGTGTGGCTCAGTGGTTGAGCATCGACCGAAGAACCAGGAGGTCATGGTTCCACTCCCAGTCAGGGCACATGCCCGGGTTGTGGGCTTGATCCCCAGTGTGGGGCGTGCAGGAGGCAGCCGATCCATGATTCTCTCTCATCATGGATGTTTCTAATTCTCTCTCCCTCTCCCTTCTTCTCTCTAAAATTAATAAAAATATTTTTTAAAAAATAAAACTTTCCTCTACTTAGAGATGCAAAGATGAAGAAGAGAGACGATTTGAAAAATGTCCTAGCCCCCCAATATCTCACAGGTGAGATATGTGTTGACCCATAGACAAGTCCACAGCAGTTCAAAGTCCTATTAAGACTTTGTCTTATTAATTGGCTACGCCAATGTCTTATTAAAATGATGCCAGCCAAGTAGATCGAGATGGTAATATTAGATATGCATGTTTTAATCATGTGTAAGTATTCATACGCGCTCTGCATAATTGAGAATATATTTTAATCTGCTTTTCATTATTTATAGTAGTATCATTGTACATATTATACCATTATTATGTGCCATGCACTTTTAATATAAAAGTTTGATTAAGAAGACTATTTTTTTCCCCCCTAATTTAAAGAATCCATGATTCCGTGAGGCAACACCATATGGGAGTTAATGAGAAAATTGGTGGCTATTACTCTAGGAAAATAATATAATGGAGCTAAAATGTGCTATAAAAAAAAAACAAAAAAAAAACCACCTTTAAACATCAAAGCAAGAAAATGATCTCAGCTTCCCGGGTCTGAAATATGGGTAATTTTTAAATCACTCTTGTCAAAAAAATAATAATAATAATACACCATCAGTGACATAAATGAGGTGCTAAAGTCCAAGTGGACCTGGGAAAGATAGTCTTTCTTATAATATTTTGAAATCGAGAGAGAGAGTTCATTAAAAAAAAAAAGAAACTTAAGTTTCCGATCCATCCATGTAATGACACCGGTTCTCCTTTGCTTATGCATGCCGTCGCCTAAAGTAAATCCAAGCCCCGGGGAGGCTTTTAAAAATAAAGACGTGAAAAACGAAATGGTTTGACAAGCCTCCGGAAACCCTGCGTCCGGACCTTCCGGCCACCGAGTCCACAAAGGGAGACGAACGGCATTTGCATGGGAAACGGGTTTTACAGAATAATCCCTCCTCGGGAAGCGAAGCCAGGCCCCCGGGGAGGTCATCTCTGCTCCGTGATAAACACGACCACGTCCTGGCTCTTGCCAAGAGAGCTGTTCTGCAAACTCCCAAGGATGCTGGAATCACCAGGTTTATTTTAACAGCCCCACTGATAGGATTAGATGGTTTAAAGGTCAGATGACTTTGCGGGGGTGGGCTTCCTACATTTAATAGAGTGTTTGTTGATAAACAAAATTAGAATCTTTTTGGGGTTTTTTAGTTATATTTTTATTGATTTCAGAGAGGAAGGGAGAGGGAGAGAGAGAAAAAAAAACATCAATGATGAGAGAGAATCATGGATCGGCTGCCTCCCGCAAGCCCCCTACTGGGGATGGAGCTTGCAACCCAGGCATGTGCCCTTGACGGGGAATCGAACCTATGACCTCCTGGTTCATAGGTGGATGCTCACCCACTGAGCTATGCTGGCAGGGCTTAAAATTAGAATTAAATAACACAAATGATGAGAAATAATTTTCCTGGTCAACATTAGACATTTCCTGGTCAACATTTCCTAGGGAGGCGATAATCTTTTATGTGGCCAAACCTTCCGCCTCTGCATTCATTAGACAGGTGTGCTGAATTCATCACTTGGAGAAGAAAACGAAATAAGTTAGCTGTTGAGTAACCTCACAATTTCCATAACTCGCATCATGCACGAAAGAACAATGAGCTTGGTCCCCTAAGCAGTGGTCGGCAAACTCATTAGTCAACAGAGCCAAATACCAACAGTACAACGGCTGAAATTTCTTTGGAGAGCCAAATTTTTTAAACTTGAACTATATAGGTAGGTACATTGTTATTGACTTAATTAGGGTTCTCCTAAGGCTTAGGAAGAGCCACACTCAAGGGGCCAAAGAGCCGCATGTGGCTCGCGAGCCGCAGTTTGCCGACCACGGCCCTAAAGAATGGGAAGTTAGCCCAGCCAGCATGGCTCAGTGGTTGAGCTTCGAGCTAGGAACCAGGGGGTCACGGGTTGGATTCCCAGTCAGGGCACATGCCAGGGCAGTGGGCTGGAACCCCAGTGTGGGGTGTGCAGGAGGCAGCCTGTCAATGATTCTCTCTCATCATTGATGTTTCTTATTTTTTTTCTCATCATTGATGTTTCTATCTCCCCCTCCCTTCCACCCTGAAATCATTAAAAAAATATATATATATTTTTATAAAACCACCAGGACAGAAACCATATCTACTTCCAATCACCACCCAGCCCCAAAGCCGGCTCAGCACCCAGCCTCGGGTACGTGGGATGGAAGAATGAAGCCGTCAGTGAAAGTGACATTTAAAGACGCTCGTAGATCAAGCGGGGAAGTGAATCACTCATGCTTAGTGACTATAATAAAGAATAAATTTATTCCCATCGTAAAATAACGTCTACACGTGGAAGGGAATATGTCAAAGGCAGTGTATTTGTATCAGGTTCGGCAGAAAGGCCTAAGTGACAAATTACAGAAACACAGACAGCGTTCTTTATATACGTCTATTGCTTGGGGCCCTGCGGGCTTTTTTCTTTCTCGCCTTATTTTGACGGAGTGGGGGCCATGATGAAAAACAAAATCTTATCCACCCAACAACTCACTATCCGATGAACTCATTCCAGCCTTTGCCAGCAACTCTCATCAGAATGAATATTCATTAAATACTACGTGGGCGAGCATGTATCCCCATCAAACACAATTCAGGAAGGCAACATTTGGATTCTCCAAACACCGGGGGGGAAAAGAAGATAATAAATTGAATTTCTTAAAAAGCTTATTTTCTTTGTGTTCCTCTATAACTATACAGTCATCTCATGATAACACTATACCTTAATATCTTAAGAGATGGATGCCAGCCCGGCTGGTGTGGCTCAGTGGTTGAGCGTCGACCTATAAACCAGGAGGTCACGGTTTGATTCTCGGTCAGGGCACATGCCCGGGGTTCTGGGCTCCATCCCCAGTGTGGGGCATGCAGGAGGCAGCCCATCCATGATTCTCTCTCATCATTGATGTTTCTATCTCTCTCTCCATCTCCCTTCCTCTCTGAAATTAGTACAAATATACTGTATATTTGTATATGTATTTGTATATATGTGTGTATATACGAGAGAGAGAGAGGGAGAGAGAGAGAGAGAGAGAGAGAGAGAGGAGAGAGAGAATAAAAAAAGAAATAGCCCTAACTGGTTTGGCTCAGTGGATAGAGCGTCGGCCTGTGGACTCAAGGGTCCCAGGTTCGATTCCGGTCAAGGACATGTACCTTGGTTGCGGGCACACACCTAGTAGGAGGTGTGCAGGAGGCAGCTGATCAATGTTTCTCTCTCATCGATGTCTCTAACTCTCTATCCCTCTCCTTTCCGCTCTGTAAAAAAAATCATTAAAATATATTTTTTTAAAAAAAGAAAAAGAAATGGATGCCAGTGTGTGGGTGAGGCCATTGGAAGCTGTCATACCCGCGGCTACCAACAGAGGGCGGTGGGCTGCACCTGTGCTCAGGGTGAGTGGGCTGTGGCCATCTGGAACTGCCTTCTCCTTTCCCTGCCTTGCAGATTCTTCATCTTGTTTCCGAAACACCGCTCTCCCCCCTTGCTGTCGCCTGCCCGTTGCCCACGCTCCCTCCTAGCCTTTACGATTATAACTCTGCCGCTGCATTATTGCACTTCATAATGGCGCCCTGTAATTGGAGGGCCTATTGGTAACTCCGTAAGGCATCTGGGGAGGGAGTCGTCTGGCGGGAACCTGCCCCATGAAATGGGACTGTGTTAGGTGTGATGGTGATGACTGTGCTTAGGGTGGGCCATTTCCAGAGACAGATCACCCGGGGCCTCGAGGAACACGGCGGCCGGGGGCTGCCTCTCTCCATTCCCGAGCCCTCCCCTGGCTCGAGTAAAACCATCCAAGCACATGTTTTATTTATTTATTCGAGTCGTTGAATCGTTGCTGCTTTT